TTAACCCCAAAGTCTCCATCTAATTGTGTTTACTCTTTGGATTGAGATCCTTGATCAATCATTAGGGTTATGTTATCAATCCATAGGTTAAATATTTCTTTTTAGTACTGGTACTAGTATGAGTAGCTCATTGTTGATTTCTGTGATCAATAAAACAAACCAATACCATACTTTTGGTTGTTTATTGGATGGTTTGGTTGTACTTAAAATACATTTGGTCGTACATGTTTGGCAGTACCTTAGATGGTTGTTGCAGCTTAGTGGTTCCTTAAATAGCTCTAGTAATACTTAAAGCCTTAAATGGGTTGTGGTGGCTGTGATACTTGTGAATCTTGTGATGAACAGATTTATCCAAGTCCTTGGGATTCAGCTAGTTCATTGTTCATTACCTCACGGTATCAATTACTCCCTTTTTTTGGTAATAATAAACACGTTCATTTGGGCACAAACTTTAAGAAAATGTTGAGTGGGGACTTTTAAGTGAGTTGTTTGATAAAGTAAAGTTAATGGAATCATTCTATATTGTAATAAAATGGGACATGTGAGAAAGGGAAAAATATAATTGTCATAGTTGGTGAGATAAAAACATAATGGTGGGTCATGTCCAAATAAGGAACTGTGACAGTTATTAAGGTTCCACAAGAGGGAAGTGTTTCAATTATTTTGAAACAAAGGGAGTACTTTGTATAAACCTGTCATTGTAAATTTGTAGGCAGTTGTATTTTTGAAATTGGATGTATATTTTTTGTTTTTAGAAGAAATCTCATTTGCATGGGTGAAGTGGATATGTGAAAATATGAGATACTGAGAATTTGAGATAGCCTAGGAGCAAGAGAAGAGAAGAGAGTTATTAACAAACCTCCACTAAGTGAGGAAATTGAACACTAATCTTGGATAAATCACCAAATTTTTGCAGCTACAACCCTGGTTCATGGATCACTAATGCTGGTGGGAAGAAGCTCAGCAATTATGCTATACCAAAAACGACCACGCTCTTATTAATTGGTCCTACAGGATCTGGGAAAAGCAGTTTGGTTAACAGAATATTAAGAGTGTTTGAAGATGACAAGTTTGCATCAGAAAGAGCCCAAGTAACATGTATTTTCAGCTCCCCTGTTCCTTTATGCGATTTGACCCCCCCCCCTTTTTTTTTCTATGTTTTACTGCTACTAGTTTGCTGCAATCAGAAGAATGATACATGAAGCTCACTATTTGGTTGTTTATGTCAGATAACCCATCTACCGGGGAGGGGACCTACTTCCTTCAGGAATATATGATTCCCCGAGGTTCAACTTCATTTTGTTTGTTTGATACTCGTAGCTTGTCGGAGAATTTTGCTGATAATGATGATATACTTCAGCGTTGGATGACCAAAGGGGTTCGTCATGGAGGGTTAGTTATCAGGTATGATAATTTGATATGGTACTGACATTGCTTCACCAGGGTGAATTATATAATATGACTCTGTCTTGGTGCTTTGGTGTAGGGATTCAGATGCTTCTAACCTGAAGATGTCATTAAAATGCAAGGCTCAACAGAGTGGTGTTTCTTCCACTGTGATCAGAAAGGTCAACTTTGTTATATTTGTTGTAAATGGCTTTCAAGTCCTTAGATCTATGAATAGTGACAAGAAAGAAGACAAGGCGTATGTGGAAATGGTGGCCAAGACTTTTAGCTGCCCGTATTTGTCATTCAAAGGTATTGAAGCTCTTGAATTTATTGGCTGTATCAGCCTATATGTGTGTATGTGATTTGCATGTTCATGCATGGTCTATCTTGGTTTAAGGAAGTGTATGAGAGTATTTAATGATTAAATGATGGAGTATGATTAAAGGTGTTTATGTACTAAGTATTTTCCTTGTAAAAGCACGGGTATAAGAAAAATGAGAAACAAAAATGCCATACTGCAATGTTAAACTAAACAGTAAACCTCTATATTCTGGTTGATGCACTATACACATTTGTTGCATGTATTAAAATCTAGCTTGGATGAGCTACTGCTCTTTTGGTTTGGTTTCTGCTTTCTCTTGGTCATGTTTTTTTTATCCTCCCGTGCTTTGTTATTTTGTACAACATATTGTTTCTGTTGATCATCTTGCTCGACAAAGTTCTCATATAGGTATGCATGTATTCCACCCTATACTATCAACTTCTTGTTGCTTCTCTCTCGGTTACGAGCAGTATATTGTCCCTCAATAGATACAGAGGTAACCACCATTAACTGTGTTTTTTCTAACTGCAGATGATAAGCCTATTATTGTAGTCACACATGGTGATTTACTTTCTCTAGGGGACCGAGCACGTGTCCGCGTTTACTTAGGAGAGAAGTTGGGTGTGCCACCAGCAAAACAGATATTTGACATACCAGGTAATGACTCGGAGTAGATGGCCTTTCTTTGAAAAGAAAATAGTGTTTGTCAAGAAAATTACTTAAAAGAAAACTCTTTACAGATAACTCCGATCCAACAAGTGAACTGACAATTGTTGACATGATAAGATACTCTTTGGAACACGCGGACAAAAACATTCCTTGTAAAGAGTCTAGAGAATGGATTAACCGGAGTAATGTCTTTGTAGATGGTGTCAAAGAGAAGGTTAGATCCTATGCACTTACATACCTGCATGATAACTGTGTTTTTTGCTTCTTTTCATTATCAATTTTCTCTCTGCTGTTTAATTTATGCAACAATAAAACTTAATATTGCTAGAACTGATTCAGTCTTTGGCTATGACTCGGAGGCCTATAATTTATGAAGCTGGTGGCCTGTTTTTGTTGTTATAATTTGTACCTTTAGAGACTGGAGGTCTACTAGACCTTATTTCTATACACATGTTATTGTGCTACACTACATATTCAAATTCTAGAATGTTTCAGTTCTGGTTGCCCTGGCATAATGCTTTTGGTTTTGATATTCGTTTTAGGAAGGTTAAAGTTTTAAAATTGAATATTTTCAATACAGTACTTTACATTAGTTATGCATCGTAGATTTGAGCTAGCTTTAGTCTGGGTGTCATGGAAGAATCTGTTACAAATTTTGTCTCAGTGATCCAATCAACCTATGTGCTTCCCTTTAAGTTGGACACATAAAAAAATAGATAACATGCATTCTCTAGTTTGATTAATTTGTACCTTCACATTATCATAAATATTTCACGAGTGTATGATAGTGAGATAACAGTATCTTCGATTTTTTGACTTCCTATGTGACTTTGGAGTTTCAAGCTGGCAATGAATTGCATAGGTGCTTATGCACAATTTTGGCCCAACGCAAATATATAATCAATACAATAAAAACATTTGGAAAAAAAAAAGAAGTAAATAATTCTGTTTTACTTGATGGGGACTTCTGGCATACTGGCATTACATAGTACTACTCTAAGTTTGCTTGGGGTGTGCCATCAATGTACTTGCTAGCATGACATGGCCCCATTTCCATTCTTATGAAGTTTATTTGGAATAAAAGAATTTTCATGGATACCCCATCCAATTGGCGAAACTTTGGTCATTAGGATATATTTTGCACTGAATAAATGCTACTGTATTAGTTCTTACCACTCATGTGCATCTAGTTTGTGTACAATTGGCAATGCAATCTGACCATTATGCAGGATGGTTGCAAGTAGAAACTTTTGATCTTCTGATTGAATTGAGAGACTTCATATCCAATATTTATGTCCAAGCAGCCAAGCTATATTTCCCCGGCTTTCTTGCAGTTCTAATTATGCCTCTAGTTACCATTTGAGGTTAATTAAGCATTTTCAGTTGTAGTTGCTATATATTGAACATTACATAAATGCAGGTTTCAGGAATGTCCATCTTGACATTGATATTTACAGTAATGCTTCTGGGAATAGCATGTGTTATGATGCCAATGAATCAAGCTCATAAACATAATGATCCTCTGGTGGCATCTACAACAAAATTGTCTTCAAATGAAGTACATCTTCCTTATATACCTCGTGAACCTAATACAATATATCAGTCAAACTCAGTGTCAACCTCAGCTGCAAATCATTCTCATAAAAATCAAAGATATGAGAATGTGGAACCTCAAGCTACACCTGCACCAACTTTGTCCTCAGAATCTGTTGGGGTGACATCTGAGCCAACTTCGTCCCCAAAATCTCTTGCAACTAATTCTGAACAAGTTTTGTCCTCAAAATCTGCTGCAGTTACATCTGAGCCAACTTTGCCCTCAATAACTCTAGCAAGTGTTGCAACTGATTCTGAGGAAGCTTTGCCCTTGAAATCGGCCATTTCTGTATCTGAACCAACTTTTCCCTCGAAATCTTCTAAACATTATCGTCCCAAACGGCAAGAATCTCGTTCACTATCTCCAGAACATCGACACCCTAAAGCAGCAGTAAAATGGCACAAGATTCGGCACTTGTGGTTAGACTCTGATTAAACTGAGGTTACAGACGTGTGGCTAAAGATGTTTTGATATGTATATGTATGTACAACATCTAGCTATCTGTAGTTACAAACAATGCGCATGATGTATGTATATTGTATAAATATACCTTGTGCTGACTAATCTCTGTCACAACTTTCATGTTTCCATACATGGAATCTAATAATTGTTTTGTGAGGAAATTTTTCAGTGTTGTATAACACTGGTGATTAATAATGACAATAAGATGGAGCAAACTGTTGCTGGCTTGTAAATGACGTTTTTGGCATTAAATCGTTAGCTAAGGCAAAGTAATTAGATCTGGATTTGATTAACAGTGCAACACACATTTCACTCCAACAGTTACAGTTAAGCTTTTGTGTAAATTGGAATCAAAGATTTGATAAGATACTCAGCTATTCATGTATTTAGGCAATACAGAAAGGTGCTGGTTTTTGCAGCTATTGCTTCTGTTCCATATTTGGACATGCCTGTTCAGTTGCTCATGAGTTGCTACATATAGTGATGTTCTTACAATCTTATGCAGAGCAGTAACTAAATAATATGGATTATTTTGGAGGCTCAATGTAAGTAAACAAATTTTGATGGAATCATCACAAGCAAGTACGATATAACCAATTATGCACAAAACCTCTATTGTCTTCCAAGGGGCAAATTTATACAACAAAATATACATAATAAACAAACAAGCAGCAAATGTTAAAAGCATCATTCATGACTAGTGCTCACAAATTGATACAACAAAAGATACATAATAAACAAACAAGCAGCAAATGTTAAAAGCATCATTCATGACTAGAGCTCAGTAAAGGGAAGGCTTTCCAGAAACAATGCCCTAGCTTTTGGATCAGTTGAAAATCGACCAAGAACTGCAATGGTGACTGTGCTGCTCCCAAACTTCTCAACACCTCGAGAAAGCATGCATGTATGACTAGCCTCAGCTACAACTATTATGTCTCCACCAAGAAGAGGTGCCATAGTTTCAGCAATTTGTTTGGTGAGCCTCTCCTGCACCTGTAGCTTGGAACCATAGAAGTGCACAACTGACTGAAGAATGGTCTTCCCTATAGGAGTCATTCCTACAGCAGAAAAGTAACCTACATGCACTACTCCATAGAATGGAAGCAAGTGATGTTCACACTGTGACCTTAACGGCAAGTTCAGCTCAGAATGGATCTTCATGTTGCCTTTCATATCACCATCTGATTTCCGAGGTTCCCATATCTTACTTGCAAAACCATCCAGCTTCATCTTAAAATCACGAGTCTGAAAGTTTATCAGCCAATTAAGGAATCGAGCAGGAGTACCAATAACTTCTTTCCTTAGTTGATCTTCACCCAAAGTCCTAAGAATCGTAGCAACTGCACTGACCATATCAGATGGAATTGCACTGATTGAGGGAGCCTGGGATGGGCACCAATGACCGGTAGAAATACTCTTCTGAATTCTGTCAGCTACCAACCTTTTCATTTTCAGAAGCCTGAAAAACTCAGTCCACATATCATTGCCAGCTTCTTTGTTTTCAAAAACACCTGAGCCTGAGGATACCACCACCTTTTTCCACCCTTCTTGGGATGGATCAACTATGGTAGACTCTAAAGTAGGAAAATGGATGTGAAGACACTCAAGGATGACAGCAACACCAGTTGGCTCGATGGAACATTGCAAAGCTAAACATATTTCATCTGCCATGCGCTGTGGATCCTGGAGGCGCTTAGCAAAGACATCAGCAACCCGAGAAAGTTTGCTAAGGCCGACAACTCTTTGCCTGGATGGAACATAACCCACATGGCATTCCACTTGAAATGGTAGCAAGCAAGATTCACAGCTTGAATAGAGATTGAGATCTCGAACAATGACAATGCCTCCGGTTCCTCCTGCTTCGCCAACTTTATCATCTTCAAGACCCGCTTCAGGAAATAGAGCACCTTCCACAATGTCATTCACGTTCTGTTTGTAACCTGATATAGGTAGAAATATCAGTGCCAAGAGCCTTATGCACTTACATTTACAAATAACAAGTGTGTATATTTTATTCAACTGTTCCCATCCAAGTATAAATATTGTATACTAGAAAGCATAGTGTATACATTTGGTTCATTCCATGATAAAGCACATTTTGTATATGGAACAAACAAATAGGGAAAAATAGAGTATTTGTTAGGTACAACTAAGGATGGCAACGGGTCGGATCTGGATCCGAGTCCATCTCAGATCTGTTTTATACCTTAGATCCAGACCTAACTCAGATCCGTTGGGTGTGGAAAATGGAGACTCGAATGACGGGTCCACTAGCTCCGGGATAAAACGGATCCTGCACATTTTTGCCTAATTTTTGCAACAAATATTAGACCATCTCCATTGGTGAGACTCAACTTTGAGTATTGAAATACAAAATGAGTTGTTTTTTACCTCCAATGGTGATACCCAACCCACTTCTCAATTTAACAACTCATGTGAAGTCTAATTTCCCAATGGTGACACTCTCAAAAGTATACTAATGTCACTTTCAATTTATGGCCCACCAAATCCATATTGTAAGTTTTTCAAAAAAAAAAATTAAAACTTAAATTAATTACAAAATATATTATAATATTGATAAAGGGCCCACACTTTTTGTCAAATGAGACTCAAAATTGAGTATCTAAACTTAGCAACTTTCTTTTGGAGTTGCTAAGTTTAGATACCAACTTATTGGTATTCTTTGCAAAAAATACTGTCTCTCTCTTAAAAAAACCCTTTAAGTCTCACAATTGGAGATGGTCTTATATTCGAGCCATGTTCGGATCCCTTTTTTTTTTCAAAGGACCCGGATCCGTCGGGTCCAAATTTTGAAGACCCATATTCGTGAAAAAGGGATCTCTATATATAAGCATATGAACAGTGCAAAAGTTAAAGTGTTTAGTTTTTACGAAACGGATGGAGTATTTGGGTTTGATAATCAAATTATGGTTAAAGTATATGGAAAGACCGGTATGTGGTGCAGACCCCATTTACTTTTTACCAGACTTTCATTCACGTGAAAAAAAATAAATAAATAAAGGTAAGGGGTGGGCCCAATTACTTTTACATGGGAAAAGAAAAATAAGAGGTGTGGATTATAAAGCATGACATGACACATTTGTCATATCTATATAGAGGTGTCAATAATTAAAACGGCCCAAAATAACTATACTTATCCCAAAGAAGTGACTTAATTTAGAATTTGATCTACATGACACAATAATTGAGCATAATTCAAAACCAAACGATCCCAACTAGACCCAAATGGAACCCAACCAATGACCTAAACTGAGATCTCCTGGACATAATTCTATATATGTACTAATTAGATTATACTCCGTACTTCGTACAGAGCATAAGTCAGACTATATATGTAAGCACAACTTAACAGCTAGTTGAAATGAAAAATGAAAAATGAAGCAAACATATAATTCGTATATATTTCCTCTATTTTTTTAGTTGACGCGTTTTGAATTTTACATTATTCACATACTTCCCTTTGACCATGTTTACGTGATATATATTTAATGAAAAATGTAGTCATAAGATTTTATTAGATTCTTTACAATATATATTTTCTAAACATCTACTTTTTATAATTTTTACTTATTGGTACTCCTATCGTCTCATATTGCAAAGCCTGTATTTCTTTTTAAGTAAACCAAAATGTGTATTTTTCTTACCTTTTCAAAAAAAAATCAAAAAGTGGATAATATTGTCAAATTCTTGAACTTTTAAATAGAAATAGGCTTTTAATTTTGGTTTACTTAAAAAAGAATACAATGTTTGTATTCTTAAAAAAAAATAAAAAAAAATACAAGGTTTGTAATGTGAGGCAAAGGGAATAATTAAAGATATTAACGGTTGAATTTATAAATTGACAAACATGACTAAAGAAACGTGTCAACTAAAAAAATTATTATTACGAGTAAAGAATAAAAAAAAAAAAAAACCACCTCTAGTCGCGTATCGGAGAGCCTTGGCAACACGAAGCGGGGTCTTCTTGATACCTTCGCGGTTGACGTCTTCACCCAAGCCTCCCAATAAAACTCTCACAGCAGCCTGAATCTCTGGTTCTTCTTCAACACCAATTTTCATACAACTCACTTTCAATGTGTTTTCTAGCAACACTTCACAATTGTGCTCAGCCAAACCCCCCATTGTCTCACAACACAAGAAAAAAATATATATATATATATATTTGTAATTATAAGAAAAAATGATTTATGAATTACACTTTGAAAAAAAGCAATAGCCAACACCTATATATATATAGCCTAATAACAAAGTTTGAGAACAACCCTTTTTTTTTTTTTTTTTTTTTTTTTTATGTAACGCTTATGTTGCCAATGCAAGTAATCTTTAGCATAAAAAAATTCATGTGATACTGTTTCAAAAAAAAAAAAAAAAGAAAATTCATGTGATGGCTAAAAGCCTAAAGACGTTTTACCATTGACCAAGTGACTTGTAAATAATTATTACACTAATGCAAATTAAATGTGATCTAGATAGCATGAAAAACGTGTACAAGTATTAACAATCATGTGAAAATGAACCATTTACGTGGCGTAATTACAGTGGTGTTCTCGAAAATCGTGTCAATTAGAAATCAAAGGAGAAGGTGGAGAAATGGTTAAGAGAAGATGGGTATAAGAAAATTGGAATCAAATTGAGTTGAGCAAAAGATGTAGGGGAAGTGGTTTAATTTGAAATCTTAATACTTACAAATATTGTGTATTTATAAAGCAATTGAAAGGTGAGCAATAAAAAATATTAAATTTTAATAATTCAATCTCATTTTAATTTTAGTTTGCTACATTATTATTTTTTTACACACTACTCTCATACATACACATATTTTTCATGCAACTATCTCATTTATCAAAATATCTGGATACTCCCATGCAACTATTGCTATTTACTAAAATATCTACCTATCCCCAGTGCAATATTCTTATTTTCAAAGTTAATTTAATGCTTTAATACTTGATATATGTGATATCTAATCATTAATTTTCCTTACAATGTAAAATAATTAAACATGCGTTTCAACAACAGAGGGAGTCGTTTCCTTTTATTCTCAATTTGTTACCTAAATTATTTTTCTCGTCCTTGATTCCGTACCTAATTGGAAGTTAATTATTGTTCCAATTAAATTATTTAAGTCTAGTTAATTTATGACCTTAGTATTGTGCTTATTGTTATTTGCACTATCATTAAGATGCGTCTTTAACTACCAATAAATATCCTTAGTTCATGTATACAAATATTATATAAAAAAAAAGGAAAATTATATTATAAACTACACATTGAGGCGAATCTAACAATATCGAAAAATCTCACATGATTTGGTTTGTTACTAAGTCATCGAAGATTTTCCTCAAAAAAAAAAAAAAAAAAAAAAAAAAAAAAAGTAATCGAAGGTCAAATTTGGTACACTTGTCCACACTATTTTGACCATTAATAAATACAGAGTATAATTATTAATTTATTACAGTACTTATTAAATAACTATTGTACGTAAGCAATAACAATCTCAAATTTTTACAGTGAATGTGACGGTGTGGCCAGATTTACTTATTCACGGGTTACTTATTTTAGGTTACTTATTCTGGGGTTACTCGGTTAGGTGTTACTTATTCATGAGTTACTTATTCAGGGGTTGTGCTGACCAACAGAGTAACCCCAGAATAAGTAACCCTTGACCAACTGAGTAACCCTAGAATAAGTAATCCTTGACCAACTGGAGTAACCCCTGAATAAGTAACCCTGGTGAAAACGTGCTAACTGACTGAGTAACCACAGAATAAGTAACCTTTGACCGGCGGAGTAACCTCTAAATAAGTAACCCGAACCACACAGAAAAAGAACCGGATATTCGGATAACAATTAGAGGACATAATTAGGATTTATTACAAAAGTAGTTAGGCTAATAATTAAGTTTTGTCTGTAACGAGTTTTCAATTGGCGCGAGTATCGCGCGCTTAATTATTGAAGTTAATTAAAAAGTATGGCTAATTATGTTCAACTGCCGTTTTGGCTTATTAAGAAGATAAGATATTTAAATTCCAATTTTGTTTGAAATCGTTGGTTTCCTAAGCTGTCCAAATCCGTGATAGTGATATGATATCCGATGATGTAATTTTTTAAGTTTTCATAGTCTTTACATAATTCTTCTAAACTTATCAATCCAATAATAGGATTTAAAAGCATTATTTCAGATAACAAAATACAAACAACTTTTAAATTTTAGGTTTTTTTTTTTAATATTTAAGATCATCAATAATGTTGGAAGGCATCTACAGTGGGCTCAATGAAGCTAGGGGGAGGAGTCGCCTCCATATTCAGATCACAATCTCTAACTTCATGTTGGTCCAGATCATCAATGGGAAGGTTGCGGAGAGGGTGGAGCACCGGAATGCTTTAAAAAAGATTAGATATGTTTTTCCTTATTTCCATTGTATGAGTTGTTGTTATTACAGTTACTATAAAGGCTAATCCTTTTTCTGACTGTTGTAAAAAAAAATGTTATTGGTTCGAATCTTGGCTAGTTCAATTCTTGGACACAACTATTTTTTTACAAGACTAGTTCGCAGTCTTTATCTATGACGAAATGTCATACATAAGTAGTTTCCTTTAAAAATTTGAATCTACCTTCAAAAGCATCCCACATACTCCCTCCGTATATTTGTTAGTGAAATGTTTTAACCTTTTGCACTATTTACATAATACATTTTGATTAATGTTAGTGATTTAATTATGCATAAGAAAAAAAATATAGTCTTATGGATACTTGTTGAAATTATCTCAATGAATAGTTTATTAATATTTAATTGTCAAAATATTTACTTATTGATGATTAAAGATATCCCTAGCTTTTTTGTTTCAAAAAAAAAAAAAATATCCCTAGCTTTTAAAAAGCATGAGAAAATACTTACGAAAAGTGTGAAGCCAATTATATCCTTAAAATGCTTGCTTACTTATATGCACCTATTAATATGATAATATTAATTGCCTAAGCTTTTACTTGTGTGATTTAATGATTTAATTTTTATGAATAGTGTTTGAATAATTACACCCTCTAAAATGTTTATTTACTTATTTGCCTTCATTTATGTTAATTGCGGACATTTATATCTCTAAAAATATTTGTTTACATATTTCCCGTCAAAAAAAATGTTGCCAAACAACTGCAATGACTCTGGATATGGCTAGCTATGATGCGCACATCGCGCGCGTTAGCCATCCTAGTTATTATTCAAAGTTTTGCATTGGCATACGTGTCAAAAGAACGTTTCACTAAAAAAAAATATGGAGTGAGTATAACATATCTTCCATCTTATCACCGCTTTCTTGATAGGGTTGACTCTTATCTTATTTTTTATACCACCTCCATTATATAATAGTTGCAACTTTAGAATATTTTATATCTCACAAATAATACCCCAAAGTTGCAACTAATACTTAACGGATGTATTATGTGTTATTTGAAAAGGATACTCTAACAGTCTAACATAAAAGGCTTGAACACTTTTTTTTTTTTAATGCATCACTAGATTAGTGCCCGTGCGATGCACGGTAGTAATAACCTTTTTTCCATAATTAATTTGTGATATAATATAAAAATGAGGTAGCTCATGTGGAACAAATAAATGCAATGCATACAAGAAAGATGAAATAATAAGGCAAAAATTATTAAAACTACAATTGAGAAAAAAAAATAAAAAATTTTGATTAGTTGTGTTGAAAATATTTTAAAATAGTGTGCATTATATTATATTAATGATGCATGTGATTCCCTATAAAACTATACAATGTAGATGTCGTATGATTTTTTATAAATGAATTAATTTAGTCAAAAAAAAAAAAAAAAAAAAAAAAAACTATACAATGTACTTCCAAAAAATAAACTAAGTAGAATAATATTTTTTAAAAACACTTAAAGCTGACATCATATATTTTATTGCCGGGAAATCTTTTAATGATAGCTTGACATATGTCCAAAATGATCAATGTAAAGCTTGAACTGTTTTAGTAATAGTTAATAGATTTTTTCAAGGGAAAAAATATAAATTGTTAAAATTATTACAGAGATATTTTAAAGAAAACTCACTCAATTGTTATTATTTCATAAGATTTCAAATCAACACCATGAATAGAATTTATTTATTTTTTTTTTCATTAAACTCCACTATTGTACAACTATTTAATGTTAATATTGTAGTTTTGGCCTTCGTTTCTCCATCAAATTTTAACCTTCTAAATTATAGCTTATTCTCCCTTAATTAAAAGGTATCAAAATCTTGTGTAACTATTTTAAGTAAATAGAATACGAAATAAAATGGAATACAATTACTACATCCGTTCAATATTAGTTGCAACTTTGGAATATTTTATACCCCAAAGTATCTCATAAATAATACCCCAAAGTTGTAACTAATATTTAATGAAGGTAGTATTATAAAGATAATACTCCCCCCGTTCCTGAAAGTTCGACTCGCTTTGCATTTGCACGGTCTCCAATGAACATCTTTGACCATTAATAACTTCGGCTATGTATAAGTAAAATTTTTAAAAAGTTGATATTTGAAAAAATTATCATTTGGAGGATCTAGTAAGATCAAACTTGTTCATATATTTTGATTGTATAAATCATATGATATGGTCAAAGTTATTTTATTTTGACCACATGAATAGTAAGTGAGTCGAACTTTCAGGAACAGAAGTAGTATATAAGATTAGGAATAATATATTATTATAGTTATATTATTCAAATGTTCCAAAAATAAAAGACTTATGCTAAATAGGGAGAGGGGAGTTTTTTTTTGGAGGGAAAAAACAACACCAGGAAGTGACACGTGTCATTCCCGGTGTCTGTTTTAATATTATAATTATTGATTTGTCATTGATGGATATTTTTAAAAAAAAAAATTTATATTAGCTAACCTTATATGAAGTAGTATATTTAATTATTTCTCTCTTTTTTCAAAACCCCCACTCAAAATATTTTATTATTTCTCTATCTTTCATGATCCTCACTTAAATGATTTAAAAAAATTACTCTCTCTCACATATTATCTCTTTCATTGTCCTTATTGTACTTTTATTAAAATAAACTAATCATCAACTTGCCCACTTGCATAATATAATAATATTAAAGCAAATAAACTCTTCAAACACTCCGTGTAAATGCAATTGATGCATTTAAAAAAACAAAGGGAGTATCTCACATTATTTAAAAAAAATAAATAAAAGGTCAATCAATTTATAACGTTAGGGGCTACTTCTATTCTCACATAATTTTAGGATGGAACCTTATTTGCTTTTATAAAGTGACGTCTCTCGTAAAGATTGATGCGGCTTAGACTCGTATTTTGTAATTAACATTTTAGATTTAGCTGCGAAGCTGGAAATTCACCTATTTCCCAATAATAAGCATGAAAAAGTGCTACTATGGTGGGCTTTGTAAGGGGGTAGTGGGTGTTTGTTTTTGGGTCTATGTGCTTGTTGGTGGTGGTACACGAAGCCATACAATTTGTTTAGGAAATCTATCAGAAGATGTTCAATTTTTAACTTTAAAACTTATATGAATTGCATGATTTTAAGTTTTTCGCAAAAATGATCTTTAATATTTCTTCACTTTAAAAATCAGAAGGGTGGCTTCTGATAATCTGATATGGACTTTTGAAGGTTTCAGTGAGATATAAGAAAAGCAGAAACTCGCAACAGGAACAACAGCATCACGCGCAGTAGAACCATAGAAGATGA